ACCCAGTCTTGTGGTACAAATTTAGCCATGTTGCGTGGTATTATGGTACACCCAGAGCAAACAAATGCAAATTTGACTGGTGAGAGTTTTCGACTTTAGTTTGTATGGTCCTTATGGCTCAGCAATTAAGAGCGATTAAGAGAAGGGAAGAAAAGAAGTGACTGCTTCGCAAGGGGGTTACCAACCGTGGCGTGCTTCACGATGAAGATTTATTTTATTTTCATATTTCTTAACCACTTGGCTAAAGGTCTGCAGAAATCGCCGTATAATATAATCAGACCCCCCGCCAAATTTTCCTCCTCTGTTTTGGCAACAGAATAACATTCAATCGAACATAAAATGCCTCGAAAATAAAAACAGAAACTGATGCTATAAAGTTTCACATTCCTCGTCCCCTCTAGAAACGCTGAATGCACTGCATGGCCCTTGGGGCAAGAAAAGAGTTCTCTGGCTGAAAATATTATAACACAAGCATTCAACTGCCTAAACTGCTAACCAAAACCTTGCGTTTTTATAATAGTTTTAGCCAGAGAAAGTTTTAAAATTGCACTTTGATTCGTCCTGGTTTCGGTCCCTCGAAGTTGTAGGTAAGTTTATTGATTCATCGGCAAATTAAGATAATAACAAACATTGTCAATATCTATCATTTATTTTATGCTCAATTTTGGTTTGTACATTGCTTTAATCAATAAATACATATCTACATAAGATTTTATACTCCATCAAATATTTTCGCGCGCGTGCGATTGGTCTAAACACATCACTTGACCGCTTAGTATAATTTCCAGAGGTGAATATAATAATTGGACATTCTGACGGGTCAAAAAGCTCATCATATGATGCTATATTCACCCCGCTTGAGCTTGGTTACTAAGCTCGCCACCTTTGCCATCTCGGCAACTGAACATGGCAGACACATAGGTGTACCGGCACCTTCGGACTTAGGAATAGGGGGGGGNTGCACTCAAATCGCAGTAAAAACAAAAACGTTTACAACTCTCGCGTCTTATGAAACTGTTATCATTCCAAAAGTAGTTGTTTTGAAACCTCGCATATTAAATGACCTCGATAGGCAGCCTAGTAAAACCAGAAACTTATGAAAGAAACAGTTAATGGTTTGCTGAATCGCTTTCGTTTCGATACAAAGTCGTTTCGATACAAAGTCGTTTCGATTCAAGTCGCGGTTCGATACAAATGGAAGACGATTCGATACACATCTAAATTCGATTCGATATATACACACTAACTTCGTTTCGTAGCAAAAGTTAACTAGAAGAAATATCCCAATGAAAGTTCTTTTTTTACCTTCGCATCGCATACGACAGCAATCGATCGAAAGAATGGTTTCCCAAAAGGAGAAAAATCATGTTTATCTGGAGGTCTCGGAACTTTTCCCGCCAGCTGAATGCCCTGAACTTCTTCTCCGAAACAAAACCGATTTGAAGGGATATCAGACGAGCCATCGTCCACTACAGAACAAAAACATTTAGTATTGTTTGGTAATTCTAAAAGTGAAAATTCTAAAATAATTTCAGGCTTCCGAGTATCTTAAAGTTTTGTATCCAAACGCTTTTGTTTAGAAACTGACTTTGTATCGAAACGACCGCACACCGAATTGGTTGTTAATTCTTCCTCGTACGAAAAGTTAAAAAAAATTGAAAACGGTTATTTGCGGAAACCATTCAAAACGGCTCTTTTCAGAGCCACCACAAAAACAAAAGTCTTGGTCTTCGTTTGCTCAAAGTTTTTAGAGGGAAATAGTTATGAAGCCCGGCAAACATCAGAGGACCAAACAAAGATGCCAAGATTTATGTTGGAAGGTCCAAGACCGTGCACAATCTTTTTTTTTTTTTCCGTCCATACACTATGCATGAATTACGTAACCAAAACGTTTCTATTGATTAGCTCCTCAGTACGGAGTAAACAACTATTGTGGGCGCGATCCGTTGAACCAAAATTTCCGGAAATTTTTGTCTAAAGCTGAATGGATTAAATTACTTCGCATGAAACAGCTCACACAATATCATTGATATCGCCGTCGAAATCGTCATCTAGCTCTAATACGAGCAACAGTGATCCAACAGGCGCGAAACTCGTTTTGCGAGTAGAATGGAACGAGACCGTTCGGACCCGTCGCGATCCATTCGACACCATAACATTTTCGAACCTCACCCCTGAAATTTTGATTAAATGGATTGCGCCCTGTGTTTTATGCACGGTCAGGGCCAAAAAGGTGAACAAAAGCTTAAAACAAAGAAATTTGTGGGATTTCATAGCCATTTCCCTAATTAACTATGGTTTGCTTTGATTCTTTTGTCATTGTTTTGTTGATGGAAATAGTTTTCCAGGATACACATTTAAACGATATATGGTTTCTCCAAAACAGAATACCTGGATCCCTTTATCATTTGACCTTAACTCCATTTTAGCAAGGCAAACGTCCGGAGAAAGTAGCCTACAAGTCTAGCCTTGACATCGTTTTAGAATGATTTCTCCTGAGTAGTTTGCCCGAATCATCGGCATTTTGCCCGTAAAAATTTCAAAAATTTCTGAAACTGGGTGGGGCTGCAGCCCCCCTGCCTCCCTGGCCCGTACGCCTAGGGGCAGACAGTTGCTGAATGAAAATTTCATTTATTTGAAAGACATTACTCCTAGTCCAGGATATTTGAAAGAATGGAGAATTTTCAAAATGACTACTGTCGCCCTTGGATCAAAAATCTTTTCAAAAACTTGTATTCAGGGCTTTTCGTAAACGCAGTGGTTGCGTCGATCGCCAGCAGGTCAGATCGATTGACCGAAATTTATCTTTCTTCAAATTAAAGCTACTCATTTTTAGGCGATGATGACACTTGTGAATGAAGTCAACAACCATAAAACAAAGGTACCGGATGAATTTATTTTTCGTAGTGTTTCGCTCGTCTGTTTTACTGCCGAAGTCGACGAGTAAACTGATTGACAATTGATGTACATGTAAGCTTGTTATTAAAACTACGGCTGCATACGTGTATGTACACGAACAATTGCGTCTGTGTTTTTATGTCCTAGACCGTTATTTTGTAGTCCTTGATATTCACCTCTGAAAATTATACTAAAACGCGACTTCGTCTCGGTGAATATTCACCAATGTTCACTGAGCCTGAGGCGAATAATTGTTAAATATTCCCCAATTTTCAAAACTGCGCGCGTTCGGAAAAAGATTTGAAGAATAATAAACACAATATCCTCCATTTGGGGCGAAAATATGCTCGAATATTTGTCTGCGGAAATTATCTGTTCCTCGAAGTTCACAGTTTCCCTCGACCTGCGCTCTCGGAAAACTGTTCGCTTCTCGGAACAGATAGTGTCCGCGGACAAATATCTGAGCATATATTCGCGCCAAATGAAGGTTATTGTTTATGTATTTACCTATTGTTTAAATATCCTATTAACCTCACCATAATAATTAAAGTTCACAAAGTAATGTGAAAAGTTTATCTGAATTGATGCCGTGAAGTGTCCCAACAGAATAAAGCATAATGCCTCACAAAAGTATCTAAAAATGGTAAGAAATAATAACTCTTTAAATTTAAAGTTGTATAACTGCGGTTGTAAAAGAGTAAAACAACGTATACGTCATCCAGGCTTTGCTCACATTACAATGCAGAGAAAAGATTGCAAAATCTATCAAACTACGAATTCGTTAAGACTCAACTTCTGTGCATATTCCTTAATTTTCCCCTGATGAATTCGAGCAAAAGACCAGCAAGTTATCTCCCACCAGTGCAAAAGAAATTCTCTCACCTTTCAGTTAAATTTTGAACATAAATCGCTGGCGAGCTCGAGAACCCGGAGGGGGGGGNAAAGGTATGGTTTTCAAGCAGTTCACTGTAGGATAGGGTGTATAAATCAGAGCGTATCATTTTTCACAAAACTGACTGGTTGGTTGAAGATTTTACCTAGAGTAAGGAAACCAGAAATTGCCACTCAAAAATATAAAAAAAAAATCAAATCGGAAAGTTTAGATTTACGCAAATCAGCCTCAACAGTGTCAATAGATGGGGGATTTGGGGAGTTTACTCTAGTATACGTTAGTAAAACTCAGCTGAATTAGCTCTGGTATAAGCTAAGGGTTCCAGGGTCACAGCGGCACATCCCCACCCAGAAATTCCCAAAGTACCCCCCTCCCGGGCTCGAGAAGCATGCATTCAGTTTAATAATTTTAAAGAACTACGACGAGTTCCTATCGAATCAAGCGGAAACAAAGCAAACTGCCTCTAAAGGAGTGCTAAAACAGAAATAGAGGGAACTACTTGAAGTTAAATTTCATAAATGAGACCAAGAAAATTCCAAAATTTAAAGTGCCACTATGATGAAATTCCCGATATTCATTTTTTTTACATTTTCGTACACAATAGGTCTTTCCCAGATATCTTGGAAAATTTCAATCTGTTACGAACATTAGAACTCGCGGTTTTTAGACCTTTATTTCTGAGAATTTACGGCCGCCATTAATTTTCCTTGTCCCAAGTCTTGGCTGATAATTGAAGAAAATGATGCCATATTCTCATAAATATCGCACGGATTGAAATTAAAACAACAATTAATGTGGCAAATTGCACAAATATATGAGCCAAAGTTTTTGTTATTTTTTTATGCGGATTGCTGTAGTAATTGTTATTATAATTTCAACCCGTTTGGTATTTTTGAGAAAATGACGTCCATTTCTCCAATTCTCAGCTAAGACTTGAGACAAAGAAAATTAATGGCGACCGTAAATTCTCGGAACTAAAGGTCCAAAAAAACGTGAGTTCTAATGTTCGTAATAGATTGAAATTTGCCAAGACATCTAGGAAAGATCTATTGTGTATGAAAATGTAAAAAGCTAATGGGCATCTCGAATTTGATCATAGTGGCACTTTAAAAAGCATGCCTGTCAAAATACAGTCACCACGAAAACATCCTTTTCCAAGAACATTGACATGCCACATCACTGGTAGTCTTTAAGATATAAACGGTTAAGGTTAAAACCATGACGTCTTAGCTTTTGGTGAATCTATTTGAACTTTAATGAATAAGGTGTCGTTAACAATAAAGCGTCTTCTCCTGAGGTCGTTATGAGAAACAAATTTTGGGAATCCATGTCCTTTACGGGCCTTCTCTTCTACAGGCTTTACAAAGGCTTTACTGTTTGGGTCGGAAGTAAATCCCTTAACAACGTTTTGTCGTTGATTTGGATCATCTTGTTGATCTATTAACGTAAATGTTACCGTCTTTGAGAACCCCCAAGGTAATACGGCGTCATATTCACCTTTCATTACAACAATATTTATGGAGAGATGAGTGGTCTCTCCGAAGTCAGCACCATTTGGATACAATCTTAGCATCAGTTTGTAGCCATACGCGTAAAACGGAAAACTATTAATGTACTTCAATTCATTGTTTTTTCCTTGCCTCAATTTGTCTTCAAAGCTTGTTATCTTCCATATAAAAATGCGGGATACCTCTGGATCCAACTCTAATATCAATAGTTTATTGCTAAGGTCAGCGTTTAACGAATAAAATTTGTCATTAAGTTCCTTCTTTACCATGCCCACGTTCTCTTCATGCAGGCTCTGAATAGCACTTACTTTTTCTTCCAGTTTCTTCTGGAATCTATCTTCAAGTTCCTTCTTTACAATGCCCACATTCTTTTCATGCAGGCTCTGAATAACACTTACTTTTTCTTCCAGTTTCTTTTTGAATCTATCTTCAAATTCCTTCTTTACCATGCCCACATTCTTTTCTTGCAGGCTCTGAATAACACTTACTTTTTCTTCCAGTTTCTTCTGGAATCTATCTTCAAATTCCTTCTTTACCATGCCCA